TTGCCAGATCCACTTTCCTCCCTTTCTTGAAGATAGGCACCTCATTGGCCTTCTTCCAATCTTCAGGCACTTCACCAAAGCGCCAGGAGCTCTCAAAGATCCATGCCAGGGGCTGAGCTATGATGCTTGCCAGCTCCTTGAATACCCTGGGGGGTAGACTATCAGGGCTGGCTGACTTGAAGGTATCCAGCCTCTCAAGGTGTTCCTTCACGAGGTTATCATTGATGGAGGGTAAGGAATCTCCCTCACCTAGGCATCCCTGATCCACAGTGGGCAGGGGCATCCCATGGGACTGGTGAAAAACTGACACAAAATACCCATTTAGCAAGTTGACTTTTTCCTGGGCATTGGTTGTCAGTTGTCCCATCTGGTTTAGCAGGGGTCCAATGTTGCCCTTGCTTTTCCTCCGTCTCGCCATGTATCCAAAAAAGGACTTTTTATTGTCTTTGATATTTGTAGCTAGTCAGAGTTCAGTCGCAGCCTTGGCTTTCCTGGTTCGCTACCTGGCAACTGTGTCATGAGTGATCACTCAATTCAAAAGCTCCAGGTCACTCTTTTGATTGCTTCTGTGAAGTGTATGAAACTCTCAGACTCACTGTCAACTTCACAAAACTAAGATACTTTACAAACACACCCCAAACCAACCAGCTGTTCCTCCACATATTTAAGTTGGAGGACAATCTTTGGAGAATGTTGAACACTTCCCCTACCTGGATAGCCAGCTTTCCCAAAAAGTAAACAGAGGTGGCCATATTCAACAGTGGATAAAATCTGTCAGTGCTGCCTTTGGACATTTTTGAGATTTGTCTCTTTGATCATGACATCAGGATACAAACCAAACATCCTATCTTCCAGCACGTTGTCATCCCTACTCTGTTGTAATGGTGTGAAACTTGGACAGTATATTGGAAACACCTGCAAGCTTTGGAACTGAACCATCAGCAATGTCTTTGAAACATCCTCCACATCAAGTGGAAGGACAGAAGAATGAATGCTTGCATTCTGGCTCAAGCAAATGCCACCAGGATTGAAGCCATGCTTATATGGCAGTAGCTCTGGAAAAGACGTTATAAGGATGCCGGATAACTGGCTCCCAAACCAGGTCTTATACGCCCAACTTGCCAATGATCACTGCTCCTAGAAGAAAGCAAAAGAGGAGATGCAAGGTAGGTCTGAAGAAATGTGATATTAACATCAGTTCCTGGGAGACTTGAGCACTGAATCATTCCTTGACATGGCATTGATAATTTTAAGCCTCACTGTGGAAGCAGATAAATGACAGAGACAGGGAAGAGCTGAAGCCTAACATCACTAGCTGCCCCATTAGCAGTCAAAAATGCAGGTCATGGATCAACCTCCTCAGTCTACAGACTCACCAAGGTTTCCCCTGTTTACTAGAAGACTGTAATCTTCTATTGAGGGACTTCTGATGCTCCTGGTTGGCCAGGAGCAACCTGTTGGGGGAAAGGTGGAGGTAGTGGAAGGAGGGAGCTGCATGCTGCTGCTGCTGTCCCCAGCTGAGCCTGCCTCCCCACGCAGTTATTTCCTCTAGCATGGGGCAGGAGTGGGCTAGGAGAGGCAGTGGGGCTCCCCCTATGCCTGCTTCATCCAGGGACAGCAGCAACATGCAGGTTCCCCATGCAGTTGCTTCCCATAGCCCTTGACTTGAGCAGAGCAGGTGTGGCTCTGCCTCTCATCCCACCCAAGGACAGCCAGGGACAACGGTGGTGCTATGGGGGCAGGTCCTGCACCCTTCCCTTCTCATTGTGTGTCTGCTCCTTGTCCAGCTCCCTGGTATCACTAACCAACCCAGGAGCTTTAACCATGCCTTGCCCCCACTTCCCCCTGGTCTAAGAGGCAGTTTTATGTACCCCTCTTCTTAGTAAAATCCTGGATCTGTCCATGGGTAGTGGCTTCCAAACTTGGCCACTAATGTGCAAAAGGTTTGAGGACTTGTTTTTGTGACTTATGATTCAAAAACATTTTAATTAGTTGGTTAGTTTTCTGAGCCAGTTCCATTCTTCAATGTACTTCTGCACTCTTATGATGTGTAGGAGCTTGAGAGCATGGCCAATCAAGCAAATGTGAATTACTTTGTTTAGAACTTGTCTCATGCTGATATGCTGAACTGCTGAAATATACCTCCAAGGCAAAGCGCACACGATGAAATGATCAAAGCAACAAATAGACAATACTAATTCATGTTACAATTCTGATTTACTAGGTGCCTGATGGTTAAGAGCTCCTTTTCCTTTTGAATTGAACTGGAAGTGCACACAGCAATTAAATTCACAATCTGTAAGCGACTTCATTTTTTGTTTTGTTTTTTCAATTAGTGACAAAGGCATAATTTACAGTTCACCCATTTTTTTTCTGATCAGGAAGGCAGTTAAGGATACTCTGTTCAGCTCAGACAATGGTTGTTCATCCATATTTTTGTTCTGCATTTGTCATTGTAGCAACTGGGTGCTTATTTCTTTGGTGGAGTTAGAAATGGCAGCGAGTGGGGTTTAATTACTAGGTTTTTTTCACTCTGTATTTCTGGAATGTTTCCAGATTTGGAAAAATCCCACAAAACAAGAAAACCTCTCACATGCATTACACACCACACTCACCTAAAATGTATGGTTCAAGCAGCGGTGTAATGAGGGTAGAGCAACTAGGGCAGCTGCCCGTGTGCTAAGTTGGGGGAGCTCGGGCAGAAAAATAGCTGCTATTGGTGCCCAGTTATGCTGATGGCCACGGAAATCACCACTGCCCATTGGTGTAGCAGCTGCCTCAAGTACCCAGCCATGTCATTACAGTACACTGCTGGATTCAAGTATAAAATACAACTGAGTGAGGATGAGCATACACCATGGAATCCCAACTTAGCAATTAACAATATCAGTATAATGTATATTTGCAAAGATGTACTAGCATTTCATAAAAAAGGATATTTTGCTATCATTTCCTGTTTGGTTCTATTTGTTTTGCACAGACCTTCATAAAGTTTTCCCTCCAAGAGCTTTGAAGCAATATAATAAAAGCTAAAGCTGAAAGATAGAGAAATAAATTGTTTGGAGAAGGGAATGAAGACTTATTTTCAGATGTCATCCAAGGATTTATAGAAAGCCAATGAAATGGGGATATATCTATGCTGTTGCCACCAGTTATTCAAAATGAGAGATGTACAGAGGAAAAAATTCTTTTATCTCTAAGATGATTATAATAAAATCATAGGAAAAGTATAAAGGAAGTCAGACAGCAAGAACAGAACCTCAGGTAGGTTTTCCAAATAACATTTAGATACAAGATTGCCAACTAGTAAAAATAAATAAATAAATGGAGAGATGATGATGATGATGGAAAAAAAATCCACTTCACTAAAGGAATCCAAAGCATTTTCTCAGACTTTCAGGGCAGTGCTTATTATGTAAGAGCAGACACTTGGTCTGGGCGACTTTTACCTTGCTTTCTCCCATAGTAACTCCCAATCTGCAATTCAAAATTAAGTCCAAGAAGAAAGAGTCCTTTGACATTGCATGTCCTGGGAGACGATCTTTTTTCCTGGGATTGTAGAAGTGTACACATCCATTATCCCACTTCTAGTCCCTCTGAGGCATTCTGGATAAGATGCACTAGCGTAACAGTTTTTCCCCTGGATATCCTTTTGTAGGTCTGTAGAAACAGTTCTTTCAGGGGACAAGGTACAATACTAAGGCTGTGCTCTCGCTGGCCACCTACTGGTGAAAGAGCAGCAATGCAGCTTGGCATGGTGATGTATGTAAATGAAGGTGCTGTACCTGTTTGGATGTGGGTCAGTCAGAGCCTGGGACTTCAATCCTAGGTCAGATGAGGTGTTTGTCGGGTCTCAGAACCTGTAAACAGAGACCACAGAATTTTCCTAGCTTCTCTCCAAAAGCTATGCTATTGTGGGAATGGTGAAGAGTGAAAGGATGGTGACTCCAAACATGAAGACTATATCAAGTGTCTTGCAAATGTGCAAGGAGAAAAAGACAACTGTAATCCAAAGAAAGCATGGTCAGGTAATAGAGAGGGATGTGGCCTGGGCATTAGTAAACGAGGGATGTTTTTCCAGTCCTGTCCCTGACTTGCCACATGACTCTGGAGCAAGTAACTTCACCTCTCTGCATCCCTGTCTTCTTATCATTCCTTTGTCTGACTTGTGTATTTAGAATGTGAACACTTAAAGACTTGTTTGGCTGTGTCAGACTAACATTGCTGTTACAAGACTGAGACTCCCTTCAGTTGTAGCGCAAGATTAGGACTCTAGTGTGCTGGAAATACAGTGCTCAGGTGTAAACCAAGAGGAGGCCATAAGCAGAAAGTGCAAGCCAGCCACTCACCATGCAGCTTGCTCTTGTCACATGTGCAAGTGCTAGCCATAGTAAGACAAATGGCAACATTACTAGCCGTAGTTTTAGATCCCACACTGTTCCTTAAATATGCATCTTTTTTTGAACCATGCAAGAGTCTACTGCAAGCTGATGCTTGCGTTGGGACTGCAGGATTGGTGCGTGAAGATCTGTAGGATTTAGGACCCCTAACTTAGGGAACAGGAACAGTGAAGAGTGAGAGGACGGTGGCTCCAGATGTGAAGACCCTCTAAACCCACATAGGGGTGAAGTGGGTGCCTAGGTGGTGGGGGCTGTATGGGTGTTGGAACCTTGCACATTCCTGTTTCCTTTTAAAATCCCACTGGCCTACTACAAACATCATTTTCAACATTTAATATTTATTTTAATGAATGCCCTAGCATTTATCTTCTTGGTGACTCTCAGCAGTCTCCTGGAGCTTCATCTCTAATTCCTGGAGACTCCAGGGCAATCCTGGAGGGTTAGCAACCCTAACTAGTAGGGTGGCTGCAGGATGGGCATGTGCCTTGGGCTGCGCAGGGGGGTCAGCCAGGTGTAGGAAGGGGACTGCGAGGCAGGTGGCAATGCTCCGGGAGCAGGCTGGTAAGGGTGGGTCATCATCATGCAACAGGCGCCAGGAGAGGCCGCAGGGCTGGCAGGAGCCAGACAATGGAGCCAGGCGGGGCGCGTGAGCTGAGGGCCAAAGCTACGTCGTGAAGAACGGGGCTGAGTAGATCGGCACTGTAGTGCCGAGGCCTTCAGTGCGGTTGGAAGCTGTGTGGGCCGTGGAGAACTACATTTCCCGGCACGCCCTGGACGGATCACGCAGGTGCAGAAAGGGGCATCCCGGAAGGAGAAGGTCCGTTTGGCTGGCGCGTGCGCAGTGGTGGTGCTGGGGCCCCTGGAAGCGGAAGGCGTTGGAGGTGCGCGAGGGCAGGGGGTCGGGGGCGACGGGACGGGGCGGGGCGGTACCGTGCTGTGCCGGCAGCGCTAACCTCCGCCCTCTTTCCCCACCTTCTGGTGGTGCACGCAGGGACTGCGGCTATGTCGAGCCTGGTGGCGGCCACGTGCGACGGACAGGGCCCGCAGCCCGCCGAGAAGAAGCCGCTGAAGCCCTGCTGCGCCTGCCCGGAGACCAAAGCGGCGCGGGACACCTGGTGCGCGGGGGGCAGCATGGGGTGGGGTGCTCCCCACTCCCCTCCGCACCTGGCCTTCGCCTCTTATTGGGTTCTCTCTCTCTCTTTTAACCGCTTTATTTTTTTTTACTTACTGTTTTTGATTTATTTATCTTATTTTTTGGTTCTTTTATTTCTTATCTTATATTTTTAATCTTGTTTTTTGGAGCCAGCTGAGATGAGCATCTTGCAAGGGTTGGATGCTTCTCCGTTCCCTTCTCCACTTGATCTTGGCCTCTTGATTTTTTTTTTTTTTTTTTCATTTTACTACTTTTTTACCTTATTTGTTGTGTTTTTTGGAGTCAGCTGAGAGAGATGTCTTGCAAGGGGCGGGTGCTTCTTTGTTCCCTTTACTGCAAAGCCGAAGGGCCCAAACTGCTGTGCCACTTTTTTTGTGTTTTCATAACCACGTGTCATGGCTGTAAGCTGGGGACAGGGCTGTCCCTTGGGGGGGGTGAATTGGGGCAACCACCCTGGGCCCTGTGCTTTATGGGGGGGGCCCTGTGGACAGTGCTATTGGTATGCGCTGAGGGGACCAGCACTGTGCTCCAGCCACTTGCTGTCACCACACCCTGCTCCCCTGCACAGGCTGATATGCCCCGGGCCCTGCACACCTGTAGGGGCAGCTCTGGTCAGGGATACTCAGGCAGCCACAGCCCTGGGGGGCACCTTGGGAGCCTTTTAAGGGTGCCACACAGTGTTAGGTCCACTAGGGCATGCAGGTATGATTGAGCTAGAAATCCATAGTGCTGAACAACACTGCCCGGTAGTTCTCTGTCTGACTTCTTTGCAGCAAAAGAAATGCTCTAGTATAGTTCTGTAGTCAGAAAAGACACCAAGCAAATGCTAACTTAGACCTGGCACTTTCTGAGTAGTGTTGTGAGCTTAACTACCAGAGGTACCTAGAGTCTGGAAAGGTTGAGAACCACCAGTATAAGTAATGAGAGGAAAAACTCTTAGTTTTCATCTAATCTGTCTTCTCATCTGGTACAAGATTGTTGGCCCCTGTAGTATATTGTCCTGTCTCTTTTTCTTTTTTGTGCTTGGCATTGTTCGGCTTCCCTTGAGCGAGTAATAATGCAGGGTCTGAGAGATCTCATGACCTTTTCCTGAAATCCCATCTTGTAATTATTCATTAATTACCCCTTAGCATACTTTGTTCCCTTTCCAAATATTGCTGCATTTAAGTTTCGTTGAGTGTTTCTGCACAGGCAGATATTGGGGTTGCAACACTCCTTCTGCAGAAAGATTCTAGGAGTCATGTGAAACTGAAAATGCTCAAGAAGAGGAAGTTTTTTGGTTGGGTGGAATTATATATGGACAAAAGGAAAATTGCAGTTTTTCTGCAGTTACCTTTATGCACTCAACTGTTTTGGTTTTTTGCTTGTTTGTATTATCTTACTCATATGAACCCATTTTTTACGGTTGGTTTCCTAATATTTTTCTTCTTTTCTTTTTCTTTCTTTCTTTTAATATCATGTTTCACTATACTTCCTGACTTGTCAAGGTCTTCTGTTGCCTTGGGTTTTGTACAGAGCAAAAAAATACTTTTTTGTGTATTTTAGTGAAATGTGGTTTTTAATTCACAAAAACTTGGTAGGTGCTTTCATAGATGGAGATAATATCTGCGGTAAACATTCTAAAGATAAATAAATTGGCTTTATTTCTTAAAAACAGTACTCTATACAAAGATTTTGTTCAACACCTCTGAAATCTTGTAGTAGTAGTGTAAAGCAGCAAGCAACACCCTGACTGTTAATACATGAGCTCCTGTGATTGAAAGGTGTACAATCTGAGGTGCAGACCTTTCTTTCTTTCTTTTGTTTTTAAGGTGGTACAAAATTTTGTGCAGAAGTTCCTGAAAAGGAAATGCTTCCTTGTGAGGAAAGAGCAGGTGCCTTCTCTGGGAAGATTAGGCATTTTAAAATTAAGCTGTTTTATGCAACAGATGGTTGCTTGTGGCACTCAGTACCGCTTGCTTGATATCCTTAAGGACAAGCTCTTAGTAGGATTTGAAATAAAGGTTAGGCATTTATATTAAACCAGCTAATATATCTTTAAGAGGGGATAATAAAGGATGCTTAATTGAACAGATATAAAACCTATTGCTTAAGAATATACTGTATCCTAAGACTGAGGGGGGATTTGATAGCAGCCTTCAAGTACCTGAAGGCTATATCTGTTGGAGGCAGCAGCTTCATTGCTGTATTAAGGTCTTTTCTGTAACCTAGAGTGTAATAGGAGTAAGACAACCTTTATAGGAAGTGTGTGTAGGGGGGGTGTAGAAGAGGAATTAGTGTAGAAGGGGAAGCTAGAACAACCAGGTTTGGCATGGGGTGTGGGGGGAGGATACCCACAGTGATGTTTGAGAGACCCAGAGAGGAGCAGTGTGAGGAAGCGAGGACCCATTGCTGGAAAAGAGTGATAATGTGAAGAAGTATGTGCCAGGTGAAGAGTGGATTTGGTAGTGGGGACAAAGTAGAATTCACAAGAGAACGTGAATGTTTGTGATGAAAAAAGTAGAAATCCAGACTGAAGATGGAGTGGAAAAATGAACTGGTAGGGAGCAAGTGCAGATGAGGATCATGGGGCATACAGGTTCCTGGCTGTGGGAGAGGGCCATGGGGAACAGAGGACCTGCTGTGAAGGAAACGTTGTGGGGAATTGCAGAATGTCCCCAAAGTAGAGAGGGTGGTGCCCAGATAGCTTGTTGGGTGGAGGGATGAGGAAGTCCCTAGCAGATGGAGTATGGTTAGCCTACAGAATCTATGCAGTGGGATTCTCAAATCACAAGATTTTAAAAACTTTTTCAGCCTGGGTGGGTTTACCTTCTTTTGGACTCACTTCTGAACAAATAGTTTATAAACTCCTATTTAGAAAAACAGTGCATTGTCTTGGGCTCTACTAAACAGACTAACAATAGAGCCCAACTATCTGCCATCTTCTCAAGGGAGGTTACCCCTGGCAAAGAAAGTTAGTGCTTTACGTTTGCAGAAGCTGTTGGAAAGTGGCATCCATCTTAACTGAGGCCTTCCTGTGGCTTTCATTTCATTGGAAACAAAAGGAGGCAGACAGCATTTTTTTCTAGGTGCTGTTTTGTTTTCAGTTATTTCTCCATCAAGGAAGCTGATTAGCTTTTTCTGTGGCAGCAAACTAAACTTGGGGAGGGGGGAAACTTGAAAAAACAAACAAATAGGGATGTTTAAGTGTAAAACCAGCCAAGTTGGTAAAGGTAGTCTCGCACTAAATTTTGTGATATGCTTGTGTCCCATTTACACTGAAAGTTACAGATTTTTGGTCTTGTATATAGGAGTATTAACATGGTGACTGTATTGCTGGCTAACCAGAGAAATCTCTTTGCTTTGTAGTATCATTGAAAAAGGGGAGGAGAATTGTGGGCCTCTTATTGAGGCCCATAAGGAATGCATGAGAGCACTGGGATTTAAAGTATAAGCAAGATGAATAATGGAGCTATGCGTGTGGTGAGTATAGATTTCAAAACTCTGCTCTCTGCTTGGTCACTGTCTCTTCACTGACCCTAAGAACTCAGTGTCACTAGTCGGCCTGAACTAGCAGAACAGAATAACTGAAAAATGAGGCTAGAAGGGATTTTGAAAAGACTTTCAGTTCAACCCCATCTGCTCAAGACAGGATCAGCACTGCCTTAACCATCACAGATTTTGTTGGCTGTGAAATTTGGCTGCCTTAAGAGGAAGGGAAAGCAGATATCTATCTCTGCACAAGAGTAACTGATGTTGGCCTTGGATAGTCTCTGGTAGTGAAAGGCCATCAGGAGTTTGCGTCCTTTGTGAGCAATCCTAGAAGGCCAGAGCCTGGTTCGATCCTTAATAAAAAGTTGTCCTGTAACAGAGCTGGATGTGAAGGCAGGTAGAAACCAGGGCTGAGAAGGTTTAAGATTATTAAAAATGACAGTCCTGCTTTAAAAATGGCTTTTCTTCCTATGTAATCTTTTATTGTGAGTCATGCTTGTGACAAAGGCAATACTTTGTGTTCTTGGAAATGCTGCCCAAGTGAAACCCTGAAGTCAGTCACTAGAGCAACCTTTAATTTGAAAGTTATTTGAGTACTGATAATGTCTTGTCTTGTAGAATTTTTCTCTCTCAAAGCTCTTTATTTATCTATTTATTTTACTCTTCTAGGTGACTTGCTGTGGGGTGACTGATTTTTCCAGGGAATTGAAGGATATCAAGTTATTTCTGCAGGCTACTTCAAGGGACAACCTTAATAATGAGAGCTATTTATATATAGAGAGAGATATATATATATAACTCCCCCCCCGCCAAAACCCCCCCCCAACCAAACAAACAAAAAAACCCCCAAACCCTAATAGCAAAGAAACTGCCCATCACCTTTCTGAACTGTATGTTATGAGATCTTGACCAGCTGGAATAGAGAGATATTTTCTTCTTAATAAAGGATTTAAAAATGTTCATTCCTCTTGCATTTTTTAAAGCAAAAGACAAAGCCTTTTTAACCCAAACCAGTTTCTGTGACGCTGCTGCTGCAGCAGTTGGATAATGTGCTTCCTTTTCCTACCGGTGCTGAAATGAGAATTGTGAGTTGCGATTATATTTAGTAGGGCTGTGCGAAGCTTTGGTCCCTGGTTTGATTCGGCCCAATTCGGTGGCCAAATCCCCAAATCCGAATCGAATCAGGCAACCCTTTAATCTCTCCAAATCGAATTGGAACCCTCCAATTGGAAAGATTCAGTGATTCGGACATAGACACAGCTTGAAATGTTGTTTTTTTCTACGTGCCTCAAGGTACCAGGCAGTTCGTAAATGCTGCAGTGCTGGAGTGCATGGAGCATCCCACAGGAGCGTGGGGGACTCCCCAGCGCGTTCAGCAGCAGACCCAGAAGTGGACCAGAAACACTTCCGGTCCACTTCTGGGTCAACTAGTGCCTCCTGGGTCTGGGGGAGCACCTGGGGTCCCCCTGTGGCAGATCACTGAGCTGGAGGGGGCACAGGTGCTCTCCCCAGTAGACACAGAAGCAACATGGGGAATTTTCTTAATGAAAACCATTAAATTATGTTTGTGCTTTGTACTTCCTCATGCTTGTGCATAGCCACAATTCTCCCTCAGATCCCTTTTTGCATGGCTATGAGAAGGAAGCTATGAAGTGTCAGACCCACTAGCTCTTGTTGTGGATTAAATTTGAAATATTTCTTTAAAAAAAAACCCCAAACAAACCAAACTTTAGAACCACTTCTTATTTTCTTCCCCTTGCCCCCTGCCACACACATTTCTAGTGTCTTGTCTGTATTCCACTTGCCACTCTGCCTCTTTTCCTGTTCCACACCTCCCCTTACAGATTTCCTTGTACTACAAGGCTTGTCAAAATGGCACATTTGAAATCTGTGAGCTTCAACCTAAGACCATTCTGCATGGAGTGCTCCCTCAAATGGGAGTGCACAATGCTTCTGTCTTCAGGGAATTGCACATCCTGAGATGTTCTACATGTTTATCCTTCACTGCAAAAACTTTTAAATTGTGTAATGGAAAGGTGAAACTCTTTGATACCCCTTGGAAATATATCCTGGAAAGCTGGGATCTAAAATCCAGTGATGGTCAAAGCCAGTACCTTTGAATAGTGATCGGGCAGGCAGATAACACCCAAGATCATGCTAAAGAGGATGGTTTTGAGGGAAGACCTGCCACTGAAGTTAGTTTCCAACACTGAAGCCATCAGTCTTACTGTTAGAAGCTGTGTGTGAAGGGGTCTGCTCCAGGTACTGAGAGTACAGAAAGAACCACAGAAACTTTTTTGGAGAGAAGCTCTGCATGGTGATGTTGAGGGCTAGAGCATGGTTAGGAAATTATTTTGGCTGGCAGGCCACAAGTTTTGGTGAGCTGTTGATGGCTGCACACACAAAATATTTCAGAATATACCATTCTGACAGATTAAAAACTTCATATACTGTACTAAAAATCAAACATCTATATTTTAATTTTACTTAAATACTTTTGTCCTGATTTCTTTTGAGTAGTGTATATAGAGGTGTATATAACAGCTCAAAATAATCTTACTTCTGTGTATTATGTGTTTGTAGGGGGGATAGAAAGTGGGGTGTGCATGTGTTTGAGGGGCTGCCCACAGGCTAGGTCCCAGGAGCCAGCTGAAGGTGGGGAGGACGTGTGTGCAGCAGAGCTTGCTTGGGTGGTGTACCCACCTGCAGCCATCTGTGTACTGCTTGTGTCCCCCCACCTCCAGTGGCTCCCCCTCCCCCTCTTGCCCCTGCTGTACTGCTCTGGGCAGCAGGTAGTGTGGGGAAGCTGTGGGGGTGTGGGCTGGGCAGCAGGTGCCCAGCCAGGCGGGGGGAAGCTGCAGCCAGAAGGATCCTTCCCCAGTGTGAGGGGCTCCAGCTGCAGGCTGCCTTTTACCCACTCTGCCTACCCAGTGCAATGAACAGGCACCCGAATAGGTGGAAAATGGCCAGGAGCTGCTGCTGAAGTCCTGCACACTGGGGCAGGAGCTGCCTGGCTGCAGCTTCCCCGTCTGGCTGAACATCTGCTGCCCAGTATATGTCCCTATGGCCACCATTGCTTCCCTCTCCTACCTTAAGCAGTGCAGCCGGGGCAGGAGGAGAGGGAGCTGCAGGAGGGGTGGTAGAGCTGAGCAGTACCTGGGCAGCTGCTGGAGAAGCCCCACTGGTAAGCTGTGCATGCTGACCAGGACTGTGGGCGTGGGCAGGACTTGCTCCTATGTGGAGCCAGGGCAACCACAAGCTAGATACAATCAGTTGGTGGGTGCCCCTCTGCCCTGGCCTTGAGGCTAGGAGCTGACTGATACAACAGACATTGCTGCCATTGGTTCTCTGCTTGGCATTGACCTTAACTTTAAGGAATGAAATTCAGACCAAATCAGGTCCGTCGTGAGCTCCAGAGCATTCACTAGCACTAATGTGAGTTCTGTAATGAGTACCTATGCATTAGTGCCAATATGGAGGTTATAGTAGTATAAGAGTGATGCTGTAGCCATGATGGTCCAGAAATTATCTAAGAGGCAAGGATTTCTTAGGATGGTATCTGTTACTGGACCAACTATGTAGCTGGAATAGAGTTAGACAAGCTTTAGAATGCAAGACCTTCCTCAGGTTTGATCACCAGGAGCCAGGCACAGCATAGGAACAACAGTGGGAGGAGGTGTAAGAAATTTCCAGGGGTAGCAGAGAGAGAATTCTAAGAAGAAAAGAAGCTGACTGCTAGGAGGGTCATTCTCACTTTCTGTGTGGCAAGAATTCAGGAGCTGGGTCAAACATAGTTTCATAGTTGGTAGGGTTGGAAAGGACCGGAGCAGATCATCAAGTCCGACCCCCTGCCATGGGCAGGAAAGAGTAGTGGGGTCAAACAACCCTGGCTAGGTGTCTATTTAGCCTCCTTTTGAAGGCCCCTAGGGTAGGAGCAAGCACCACTTCCCTTGGAAGTTGGTTCCAGCTCCTAGCCACCCTGATTTTGAAGTACTGCCCCCCGATGTCTAGCCTGAATCTACTCTCCATCAACTTATGGCTGTTGTTCCTTGTTACTCCCAGTAGTGCTCGGGGGAAGAGAGACTCTCCCATTGCCTGCTGGTCTCTCTAGACCAGTTTATAGACGGCCACCAGATCCCCCCTCAGCCTTCTTTTGTGGAGGCTGAACAGGTTCAGGTCCCGTAGCCTCTCCTCGTAGGGCCTGCCCTGCTGCCCCCTGATCATGCAGGTGGCCCTCCTCTGGACCCTCCCCACGCTGGCCATATCCCTCCTGAAGTATGGCACCCAGAACTGGATGCAGTACTCCAACTGCGGCCTGACCAGTGCCGCAAAGAGGGGGAGTATCACCTCCTTGGACCTACTTGAGATGCATCTGTGGGTGCATGACAA